CGAGCCCGCGACGTTGCACCGCGACCCTGGCGCTGGGACCCTTCCCTTGGGCGTCCGAGCTCGCGGTCTGTGACACTCTCCCCCACCAAAGCTCTTGACGCCCTCGTCAAGCTTCCTGGCCTTGTAGGCCTCGATGGCACTGGAGAACTGCCACAAGTCCTCCTCGCGTTCCCAGCTAGCCTCATCATCGAGCTGGTCCTTCCACTTGACCAGGTACTCTGTGTGGTTGGGAATTCCCCGTTGCCGAATGACTCGATCAGCTAAGATCTCGCTCACTTGCTTGTCATACGAGGTTATTGTCGCTGGTGGTGCTCGTTGTGACTCTCCTCGTGCTGGATCCTCAAGGTCTCCATGGAATGGCTTGAGCAGGCTCACGTGGAATACCGGGTGTATCTTCAGCTTTGGTGGAAGATCGACACGATAAGACACCTTTCCTACCTTTCCCAGAATCGGATAGGGTCCCTCGTATCGACGCACCAGCCCCTTGTGGACTTGTCGATAGGCTTTAAATTGCTGGGCGGGTAGCTTCACCATCACAAGGTCGCCCACTCGGAATTCCAGCGGCCGTCGCTTTTTGTCTGCCCACTTCTTCATCTTTTTGGAGGCCTTGTCCAAGTAAACTTTAGCCACATCCAGCTGCTCCTGCCAATCTTTTGCCCAGTTGTATGCAGCAGGACTTGCACCAGTATAGCCTCGCGTCACATAGTGAGGTGGCAACGGTTGTTGGCCTGTCACGATCTCAAAGGGGCTTTGCTGGGTGGCCTCACTCCGCTGCAAATTGTAGGAAAATTGAGCCACGTCCAACAATTTTGCCCAGTCGTGTTGATTGGCACTTACAAAATGCCGCAAATACAGCTCCAGTAGTGCATTCACCCGCTCCGTTTGTCCGTCCGTTTGCGGATGAAAGCTCGTGGAGAAGTGGAGGTCTGATCCCATGAACTTGAAGAGTTCCCTCCAAAATTTCCCCGTGAACCTTGGATCCCGATCGCTAATGATGATGTGAGGAAGCCCCCAATACTTCACCGCGTGCTTGAAAAATAAGCGTGCTGCTTCCTCCGCCTTGCAATCCCGTGGAGCTGGGATGAAGGTTCCATACTTCGAAAATTTATCAACTACGACCAGTATAGACCCGCACCCTTCAGACTGTGGGAGAGCTGAGATGAAGTCCATGGTGACGCACTCCCATGGGCGTTCTGGGGCTGGTAGGGGCTCCAAGAGGCCCCCAGGTTGCCGCTGCTCGATTTTGTCTTGCTGGCACACCAGGCACGTCCTCACATAGGCCTCAACATCATCTCGCATTCGTGGCCAATAATATAATTCTTCCACCAGTGCCATGGTGCGCTTGATTCCTGGATGTCCAGCCCACCTCGAGTCGTGGCACTCCTTCATCAGCTCACGTCGTAAATTTTCCCACTTCGGGATATATAGGCGATTCCCTGCAGTATACAAAGCATCATCATTGCACCAGAATCGTCGCGTCTTACCTTCACGAGCCAACTCCATAAGACTCTTGGCAAAGGGATCATGCGCCAGGCCCTCCTTGACACGATCCAGTATGTTACCCTCAGGTCGACTAATGGAGGCGAACATAGCCTTGCGGCTCAGCGCATCTGCCACAACGTTAGCCCGCCCAGGCTTGTATTCCATCACATAGTCGAATTCAGCCAAGAAGTCTTGCCATCTTGCTTGCTTGGGCGTGAGCTTCTTCTGCCCTTGGAAGTAGCTCGTAGCTACGTTATCAGTCTTGATCACGAACCTGCTCCCAAGCAAGTAATGACGCCATACCCGCAAGCAATGGACGATGGCGGTCATCTCCTTGTCATGCACCGGATACCGCCTCTCCGTGTCATTGAGCTTGCGGCTCTCAAACGCTATGGGATGGCCATCTTGCATCAAGACTCCTCCGATCGCCAAGTCCGACGCGTCAGTGTGCATCTCGAAAGGCCTCCCATAGTCGGGCAGTGCGAGCACTGGTTCTTGGCTCACCGCTTGCTTCAAGTCCTCAAAGGCTCGTTGACACTCCGCTGTCCACTCCCACGAGACCTTCTTCTTGAGCAAGTCTGTCAAGGGTGTGGCCCTTGCCGAATACCCCTGGATGAACCGACGATAGTAGTTGACTAGGCCAAGGAATGATCGCAGCTCGGGGACTGAGCTGGGAGGCTCCCACTCCTGGATGGCATGCACCTTGGCCGAGTCCATCGATATCTTCCCGTGGCCTACCCGATGGCCTAGGAACATCACTTCCTGTTGCGCAAATGAGCACTTCTCCGGTTTCACGTAGAGCTCGTTCTCGCGCAACACCTGGAAGACTTGTCGAAGATGCTGCATATGCTCCTCCAGTGTCTCGCTGTAGACCACAATGTCGTCCAAGTATACCACCACGAATTTGTCAAGGAATGGGTGGACGACTTTGTTCATCAAGGTGCAGAAAGTAGCTGGAGCATTTGTGAGGCCGAAAGGCATCACCAGGAACTCGTATGCACCGTAACGCGTCACACAGGTGGTCTTCGCCTTGTCCCCTTCGGCTATTCTTACTTGCCAATACCCCGACCTCAAGTCGAGCTTGGTGAACCATCGTGCCTTCCCAAGCTTGTCAAACAGGTCGTCAATCAAAGGAATGGGGTATTTGTTCTTCACTGTGATCTTGTTGAGCGCCCGATAATCGATGCACATGCGGAGGGTCCCGTCATGCTTCTTCTGGAACAGCACTGGCGCTCCATAGGGTGCTTTGGAGGGACGGATGAACCCCGCATCCAGTAGCTCTTTAAGTTGCTTCCGGAGTTCCTCCAACTCAGGTGGAGCCATGCGGTATGGACCCATTGCTGGTGGTTTCGAACCAGGCTCCAGCTCAATGGCATGGTCTACCTCCCTCCGTGGTGGAAGCTTCTTTGGCAGCTCCGGGGGCATCACATCTTCGAACTCACAGAGAATGCCTTGAACTTCCTGTGGGACATCAAGAGACGAGGTACTATATTCCTTTAAAGCAGCTAAATAAGTATCCTCACCTCGTTTGATGCCTTTAGACACTTGTATAGCCGAGAGGACGCGGTCTCTAGCGGGTAGCCGCTCCAGTGGCACCTTGTGACTCTCGTTCCTGTCCTCGAAACGTATGCAGCCATCTTTGGTGAAGGTGAAAGGCAACAGCTGGTCGATAAACTCCCCACCCAACACCAGCTTGAAGTCGCTCATGGTTATGACATTCAAGTCAACCTTCCCCGACCATGAGCCTATCTGCACGGGCTCTCCGCGTGCAACACCACAGATGGGCTGAGAAGGATTGTCGACCACCTTCACCCATCCTGGTTCCTTGGTGTATGGCAGACCCAGCTTCTCCGCAAGACTCACCGCAATCAAATTTTGGTTAGCGCCACTATCCAACAGAGCACGGACGCTTACCCCTTTGATCTTGACAGTGACATATTTGAGGGTCTTGCCGCCACCCTTCTGTTCAGCCATGGCACGGGCCTTGGCGTCACCCCCACTCTGCACCTTAGCCCGTATGGTGTTGAGAACTTGCATTGCTCCCAACTGCGTCTCCCCCTCTTGGGATGACTCCCCAATCGCTGAGATGATGGCATTGAGCTTGTTCCGCTGCGGGCACTCCCTTGCCCAGTGCGGACCGCCACACAAGTAGCAATCCCGTCTCACCTTGGGTTGCATCTTGCCGCCATCACCTGCCTTTTCTGGGCCCTTAAAAGGCTTGAAGACTTTGTGCGGTTTGTCCCCACCACCTTTGCTCGAGCTGCCCTTCTTATCCTTGCCTCTCTTAGGAGGTTCCTTGCCGAACTCGATAAGTGATTCGGCAACCGCTATGGCTGACGCAAGGTCCTGAACGCCACGACGCTTCAGCTCTTGCTCGGCCCACCGCTGTAGTCCATCCATGAAGTAGAGGAGCCGATTCTTCTCAGTCATATCGGGGATCTCAAGCATTAAGGAGTTGTACTCCCTGATGTAATCCTTGATCAACCCCGTATGTTTGAGCACACGAAGCTTCTTCATCGCTGCCTCTTCAGCATTCTCGGGGTAGAATTGCTTACGGAACTCTCCCTTGAACACCTCCCAAGTGTTAATGTTGCACAAGCCTCGTTGCATCTCAGCATGTCGGCGTCTCCACCACAGGGTGGCATCATGCTCCAAGTACATGGTTGCCATACGAATTTTCGCAGACTCATCGGAAATATTCATAGCATCTAAATAACTTTCAACCATCCATAAGAAATTATCGAGTTCTTTAGAGTCGCGCTTACCTCCATATCTGGGCGGGTCAGGCACCTTCAGCTTGGGTGCCACGCTGGGCGCACCGCCAGCCGCAACGCCAGCTGCCACGGCGGCCTTGCACAAGGCTAGGTCCCCCTTGACCTCGCTGAGCTCCGCCTTCATTGCACTCACTTCTGCTGCAATGGACCCGCGAAACTCCTCCATGGCCTTATGCATGTCAGCGACAACCGAATTAAGGGCACCTTGGAGCTTGCCTTCAAGCTCTTCGACACTGCCGCCCCTGTCCTCTTGCTCCTCCATGCGAGAATCAAGAGTGTCCAGCTGCTCATGGACATCACCCATGGCTAGCTCGAGCTTGACCAGCCTCCCCTCAAAGGCTATGAGTGTATCCCTCGATGCTGGCGACAATGCCTTGGACCTTCCCTTCTTCCGAGCGCCCCCACGGGTCTCCCGACGACCCCTCTCCTCTGGAACCTCTGCAGCTTTGCTAGCCTCAACCCCCTGGCTTGCCATCGTCACGATCCTCCTCCACGTAACTAGGCTGTCAAACCACGCTCTGATACCACTTGTCACGGGACGAGACTCTAGCTAGTCACCGTGCGGCACTTAGCTTGGATTTCACCCCTTAACCAAACCAAGTCAGCCTTCCCTTGGTGCTGGGC